ATAGTGCAGGGGTAACATTGGCTGAAATACATGTGAAAAGACCAGTTTTCCTAAAAATGAAGAGGAATAACTTGGTCATTAAAATAATTACTTCAATTGGTTGTAATTAAAGTCATATATTCACGGATAAATTAATACAAGGCAGGCATTTGAGATGTTTTATAGTTTACATATGCAGTTGGCATAGTATTGATAATACAGAATTAAGACGTCATATGCATAAATGAATAGAAGCTCATTTATAGATTATACTATTAGGGCAGTCTCTATGTAATTATTGTTTTTCTATCCCTACCTTGAGCATATTTATTAGTGAGAAGAAAATCAGATTTCTTGCAGACAAGTTTATCAGGATCCTGACTAGAGTAGACTAGCAATATGTTACGTTTTGTATTCAGGTACTGTAGCTCTACAAGGAAGGAACAGTAACAAAGAAAATCTGACAGCAGTAACTCATATCATGTTTTTTGGATTCACATAAATATGGTAAACCAAACTAAAACTACTCATTATGTAAAGTAAAAAAGATTTTCCTTAAAATCAATCCATATTGGTGGGGAAAAAACCCTGTTATGTCCTTAAGAATGTTTGAAATTTTTTTAGTGATAAACCAAGTCTTGCTTCTCCTCCATTATCCACATGCATGCACATATAATAATCATGCCTAATTTACTATTTGTTCATTCCATTCCATTCATAAGTGGCTGGCTGAGAACTCTGATTCCAATACCCAAATTATTTCAAGAAAAAGGAGGGGACAGAGCAACAGGAAGAGGGCTTTCCAATTTAATACCTCCCTATTTTAAAAAACATTTAAAAAAAAAAAACTGTTGAAAACAAGTAAATGGTTGATGCTCACCATCCTTTTTTTCAATAAACTTTCACATCAGTGAAGAGCCATTTCAGTGGGACATATGAATACATGTTCATTGGTCACTGTAGAATAAACATTTTAATCCAGACATCTGTATAGCATGAGGCCAACCTATCCCCTGTTTATACAGTTCATCTTAGATAGATAAGTGTTGCTGTTGCAACAATTACCACTGGCATGGAGATAAAATCAAACTGTCAATTCAGGAAGATACATCAAAATAACTCTTGAATGTTTTTGAAGGGACACTCTTTGCCATCTTATAAATGTATTGCCTGAGGCAGTTCAGTGGAATCCAAAACTGGAATCAAAAGCTCAGCTGTCCTCTGGCTTTCAAAAGTAAACACACAATCCTCAGCGGCAAGTCTCTTTCTCTGTAAAATATGTACAATTTTTTTAAAAAAATCCATGTACATGAACACAAAGCACTCTTTACTGTAGGGATTCTAAAGTCAAGTGGGACTTGCTAAAAAAAAAAGAAGAAGCTTAGCCTTGAGCCTATCTACAGTAAATGTGTAACAACTTTAGAATTTTGAAAACAACAAACATTAGTGCCTTAGAGCAAAAGGAATGCTTACTAAAATCAGTATAGCTACAAATATAGAGAGAAATGTCACATTAATATGGAGCCCGAAGAGGAATGTTGAGTATTAGGCTCTCTGGAGGCTAAATGTATTTTAGGTACCTCCTTGAAGTTGCAATGATGTAGACTTCTTATACAGCCTCTCATTCTATTTTTTAAAAACTTTATTTTAACCAGATATACGCTTTCATCAGAAATGCCTAAAAGTCCTCTTTGTTAGAAAGCATCTTGTGATTAGGAGGAAAAAATCACAACAATTTTCTTTTCTGGTTTGATTATCTTAGTGATGAGTTGTGGGAGGGGGGAGGTTGTTTGTTTTTTGCATTTGTTTGTCTCTTTTTCTCAAATTCGTACACCAATTTTTAATCAAATACTTTTTTACAAGAAGAGTGGGTAATCCTGGCACCTTGATAGAATTTTAAAGCCCCTTGGTATATATTTTATCTATTTTTACAGAGATTTAAGAGAACACCCAAGTGCAATTGCCTCTGAGCACTTTTCATAGTATAAAGGACCTATTCTTCCCCTGGCATTCACATTTGATAGAGAGAGAGAGAGAGACGGGGGGGGGGGGGAAAGCATTAGATAGCAGATAATGGCTTTACATAATGGAAAGACTGTATGAGAGATAAAGGCTTATAAAAGATATATTTTTAATTTAGTCTTTCTCTAGGCAGGTGCTTGTATGAAAGAAAACTAAAAATAATCTTTATTTAAAATGCTCTCTTCCATTATGAAACGAAAGTGGGTCACAAGACATACCTGAAGTACACAGGTAAAAGTCAGAGCTGAACTGAGTGGGGAGGGAAGCGATGAAGGCCCTGCAAAGGGCAGTTTACCTACTAGGAAGTGTGATACATAGACACATGCCAAGTAACTAATTTAGACAAGGAAAGGTGATTAAAGTGGAGAACCCTTCTGCTAATTATTTTAATATCTACCTTTAATATTGTAGTAGTATCAGTGTATTTTTGGGTCCTGCAGGGAGCTATAATGTAGTTTGATTCCATAAAAGGATGGTAAAAAGAAGAGACAAACTCATCTTTTTTTTTGTTCTGTTTTTCCCTTTTCTGCCACTAAGATTATTAGATTGTTATCTTATCTTATCTTATCTTATCTTATCTTATCTTATCTTATCTTATCTTATCTTATCTTATCTTATCTTATGTTTATTATATTTGTATACCGCCCTTTGTATCCCGAAAGACTCGGGGTGGTGAACAGCCAGCAGATAAAATACAAAAAATACAAAATTTAAAACAATATTAAAATCTAATTAAATTAATTTGGCCCACAGTTAAAACACCCCTATATTAAAACCCATAATTTAATAATTTAAAATTAAAACAATTTTAAAAAGTTAGGTCAGGTCAGCCCGGCTTGATGAAACAGAAACGTCTTTAGGGCATGGCGGAAAGTGCGCAGATCCGGGATCCGCCGTATCTCCGGGGGCAGCTCGTTCCAGAGGGCAGTGCCCCCACAGAGAAGGCTCTCCCCCTGGGGGCCGCCAACCGGCATTGTTTGGCCGATGGCACCTGAGGAGCCCCTGTCTGTGGGAGCGTACTGGTCAGTGGGAGGCTACCGGCGGCAGAAGGCAGTCTTGTAAATACCTGGGTCCTAAGCCATGGAGTGCTCTAAAGGTGGTAACCAATACCTTGAAGCACACCCGGAAGACCACTGGGAGCCAGTGCAGCTCGCGCAGGAGAGGTGTTACATGGGAGCGCTGAGTCGCCCCCATAACCACCCGCGTGGCTGCATTCTGGACCAGTTGGAGCCTCCGGGTGTTCCTCAAGAGGAGCCCCATGTAGAGAGCATTACAGTAGTCCAAGCGGGACATGATGAGGGCATGAGTGACCGTGCGTAAGGCATCCTGATCCAGAAAGGGACACAACTGGTGGATCAGGCGAACCTGATAAAAAGTCCCCCTGGCCACAGCTGTCATATGCTCTTCCAAAGACAGCCGTTGTGAGCCCTCTCTGTGGGGGCCAATGACTCACCCCCAAAAGTCAGCGATGGTACCAACTGACTATATCGGGGTACCGGAAGCCACAGCCACTCGGTCTTGAATGGGTTGAGTCTGAGCCTGTTTCTCCCATCCAGATCCGCACGGCCTCCAGGCATCGGGACATCACATCAAGGGCATCGTTGGGGTGGTGGCCCTTGAGGCACCACCCCACATCATTGGAAGTGTGGCCCTTGAGGCAGCAAAAGATTCTTATTGCAGTTCCGCAGATTTGCTGCCTGATGTTCAAAACAGATTCTGATGTACCTTTTAGGAAATGAACTGGTATAGAATCTTAGACTGCCATATGGAAGAATGATGCACATTTACTTTCCATGTGTGTATTTCAGTACTTATTGTTAACAAGCTGGATATAGATGCATTTATACATACTGTATACGTACATACAGTACCTGTCAGGGGTGAGTTCTAATTTTTTTTACTACCAGTTCTGTGGGCATGGCTTATTTTGTGGCCGTGGTTTGATGGTCATGTGACAATTATTTAGGATTTAGCAGAGGTATTGGTCTACCAGGCTTTTAACTGCTTGCAGAGCTGTACCGATCTACCCATTTATTTTTGCAGGCACTGGTCTACCCATTTATTTTTGCAGGCACTGATCTACTCATGTATTTTTGCAGGCACTGATCTACTCATGTATTTTTGCAGGCACTGGTCTACCCATTTATTTTTGCAGGCACCGGTCTACTCATTTGTTTTCTTTTAACACTGATCAGCTGTAGGGCGGCCCTTTGAAGTCCCGCAGCAAGAGTTTAAACAGTTTTTTTCCCTCTAGCCATCAACTGGGACTCAGGAGGCAGCAATAGATTGGGGGTGGGCCAAATAAAAGATAAGAATAACGCGTTGGGGGGGGGCGGGGAGGGCCAGAACCGGTTCGGTGACATCATATCGTCACCGCTACCAGCTTGGCAGAACTGGCCCAAACTGGGAAGAAGCCACTGGTACCTGTGCATGTGTGTGTGTACACACATTGTACACACAAATAGACATACAATATAATCATATCTTGAAATGCCTTCAGTGTAGGAGTGCAGCATAGTTGAACTGCACCTTTGTGGCTAAGTAGTCACTGAATGAATGAGTTAACAAATTTTGATTATCAATATGGCTAAGAATTCAAAATGATTTTCTTATAATATCTAAAGGCATAATTTTGTAACTTAATCTACAAAATCAGGCAGCTGTGCAGGAATTGCCTGAATATTTTTATTCCCTATATATCACCTTTTATAAAAAAACATAAAACATATGATGGAAAATTTAATATTTGTGTGCATCATAATAATCTGCCTCTCCATTTTGTCTCTAGGTGGTTCAGCAGCACAAATACTTGTTTAACGGTGACCTTATAAGTAGCAATGCATAATTTCCATCCTTGAATTGACTGCAGAAGAGTCCAAGAAGTTTGGAATCAGAGTCAGCATCTTATGGATGTAGGGCAATGCGATGGAAAACTGATCTGAGAAATACAAATAATTGAAAAGGATCCAAAGATCATTTTATTATTTCTAAAGCTACAGACTATAGTAAATCAATGGTCTCTTGCACACAGGCAGGTCAAAAGCAAGTACCATAAAGTTACATAGACTTTGCATGTATATTGATCAAAGTGAATATGCATTGCATATATTCTATGTAATGAATTACTTTCTGACAGATAAAAGATGCAGGAAAACTAGAAGAAAGACAAGAATATCATTTAAAAAGTGAATATACTACAGTAACATTCTTTGAAATGCAATATAGCAGCTTTGATATACAAGAGGTGTCAAGTCTAATTGTCATTCTTAACAAGATGACTCTATCCTAAGCTGTAAGAGGAAAGATAAGACATTACTATCACCTTCCTGTGTCTGTTGCATTTCACTAAAGACATACCTTCTATACATTTTTTGAGTCATTGAAAGAACAGTGGCACAAATATAAAGAATCCTTTAATTACTGTAAATGAAAAGTAAGGTTTTGCATTTAGGCAAGAAAAAAGTAAAGTTTTACATTTAGGCAAGAAAAATCAAATGCACAAGTATAGAATAGGTGGTACCTGGCTCAACAGTAGCGAGAGGGATCTTGAATTCCTAGTGGACAATCACTTAAATATGTGCCAGCAGAGTCTACAGCTGCCAAAAAAGCCAATGCGGGTCTAGGTTACATTAATAGAGGAATACAATCAAGTATTGATTCCGCATGATTGAGTATGCGCAAGATGGCGGCTGCTCCCTGAGTGCTGCGGTCGGATGGGGGCGTGTTTGGACGTTTTGGGGTGTCGAGGGGGGTCTTGACCATCAACGACCCCCGTTTGGCTGGATGAGACTGGGGTGAGCGTTTTGAGACCTTTCTCGCCCCTCAGGGTTCATCCGGAGTCGACCAAATGGAGAACTGCAGCTCTTCTCCTGTTCCTCTGCTGCAGCCGTGCTGCAACCGCACTGCTGCCGTGTCCCAGCTGAGAAGGGAGAAAGATGGTTTACCGGCTGTGAGACAATGATGGCAGCGGCGGCGGCGTTGCTAGCGGCATTGCTAGAGGCGTTGCGAGAGACGAAGGCGATGGTGGCCTTGATGGCGGGGCTAGTGACGGAGGAGATTCCAGCAGCCTGTTTCTGGCTTTGGGTAGTAAGTGAGAGACCCCTTCAGGAAGATCCTGGCAGCTGCAGAGGACCTGGAGGCCTCCGAGGAAAGTACTGGAGGCTGGGACATGGCATTGGGTTATGCTACCAGGAAGAACTGGGGGTTTGTACCTGGAAGAACTGGGGGAGAAAGGGCTGGTGGCCGGCGGAGGGGTTTTTCTTCCTGTTGCATGATGCCAGCCCTTCTCTCCCCCCGCCCCCCCTCCCTCCCGGACCTTGTTTAGGCCGTGAAATGGGCTACCATCTGGCCCCAGCTAAAGGGGTTTCTCCCTCCTCCCCTTCCCTCGTCTGTTTTGTGTCTCCTACTGGAACTATCATATTGGTACGACTATAAAGAGCAGGGACTATCATCTTTAACCCCCGGATGAACTGACTGACTGAACTATAAATCACTCTCTCCAACCTTGGGACAACCATTGTGGTAACCACTGAGGGGGTCGTTTCTTTTACATCATGAATTCACCACCGGATGGATGGAGCATTTCTATCTTTAGGGCTATTTAAGGGCCTCCCGCCGTGAGAGGGTGGGCTGGATGTCATTCTCCATTTGGTTGAAACTGTGAAAGACCCCTCAAACTGTCGTGAGTGTATTTACCAGTGGAGCCTCATGGCTGTGTGTTACATCTGATTTTGGGATTACCAAATGGACCCCTGATTATGATCTCCGCCTCCCTCATTGTAACCTAAGATGTATACTACCTGTGATCTTCTTGCACTACGAGATTCCCCCCCTCTCGCAGATCTGGCCCTCCACATTATCGAGGGCCTACCTCAAGGACAGGTTTTGGGACCCAGAGAGGTGGCATGTGAAAACCATGGGGTTGAGGGGTTTTTTATCAATTTTTTTAGTTAAACTTTTAAGGGGTCCCAGGGAGGGGGAGGGTCGAATTAGAACTCGGGTTGTGGGTTTGGGGGAAAACCCACAAGGGGTGGGTCGGGTCTGGCCTCGAAGTGCGGCGAGGAGGGTGGGGGATCTGGGGTCGAGGGGGGGTCAGAGCTCATCTGGATAGTGTTTCAAACATCAATACTGTGGGTGGGAGGGGTAGATATGGCGGGAGCAGGGGGCCATATCGTGTTAGGGGAGTGTGCACTCGCTGTTTACGAGCGATGGCGTGCTCTGGCCCCCAAGGCTCCACCCGTTCGCCAGGTTGCATAGACCCTCAGGGCCCAGGCCTTCGGCTGATGTTATGCAATGCCAGGTCCGTAGTAAATAAAGCCCCCCTCATTTGTGATCTTATTCAGGAGGGGGGTGCGGACCTGGCAGATATTACGGAGACCTGGTTGGGCCAGGAGGGGGGGGGGTTCCCCTCATTGAAATGTGCCCACCAGGTTTCTGCGCATTCCATCAGCCAAGGTCACAGGGGAGGGGCAGGGGGGTAGCGGTTATCATTAAAGATGGTCTGAGACCAAGGGAGGCCACTGTTCCTCAGACGGCCGGCTGTGAATCCCTCCTTGTGAAATGGGGTCACGGGGTTCAGAGGGGGTTGCTGATCACGTACCTGGCTCCCTGCCACGTGGCAGCAGCCCTGCCTGAGCTACTCAACATCATCGCCGTGGTGGCAGTTGATACCCCTAGGCTTATGGTCATGGGGGATTTCAACCTGCCATCCATGGGTGAGGTGTCTGAGGTGGCTCAGGAGTTCATGGCTTCCATAACGGCCATGGACCTGACCCAGTTAATTCATGGTCCTACCCACACAGGGGGAAAAATGCTGGATCTGGTTTTTGTCTCTGGACAGTGGTTGAGTGATCTTGAGATAGGGGATATAGTCATCAAGCCCTTGTCATGGTCTGATCACTCTCTCCTTCGTCTCGACCTTCGAACCGCTGCACCCCATCGCAGGGAGGCAGAGCCGGTAAGATGGTTCCGCCCCAGGCGCCTGAGCCTGATAGGTTCCAGATGGAGCTTGGGCCATTTCCTGAGGCTCTGGCACATGCCTCGACTGGAGACCTAGTGGCCGCCTGGGATAGGGTGGCCGCTGGAGCTCTGGACCGGGTCGTGCCTTTGCGGCCTCTGACCCAGCACTGATCTCATTTGGCTCCTTGGTTCACTGAGGAGCTGAGGGAGTTGAAGTGCTGGAAAACACGCCTAGAGAGTAGTTGGAGGGCCAGTCTTTCTGAATCGGACCGGACACTGGTAAGATCTCATATTAGGAATTACCTAGTGGTGATAAAAGCAGTGAAATGTAGCTATTTTGCTGCTCTTATTGCATCATCAGATAACTGCCTGGCCACCCTGCTCCACCAGGAAGTGTGGGAGGACCCCTTGGAGGGTAGAGCCGAGGATTTTGTTCAGTATCTGCATGACAAAATCACTCAGATCCGGGAAGATCTGGACTCTGACTGGGTAGTCTCAGGGGGAGGGACTGGGGCAGGTCTTGAGAATGTTATCTGGGATGAGTTTGATCCTGTGACCCCTGAGGACATGGACAGGATTCTGGGCAGACTGAACGCGACCACTTGTTTATTGGACCCGGGTCCCTCCTGGTTAGTGCTGGCTTCCTGGGAGGTGACGTGAGGCTGGCTCCAGGGGATTATAAATGCTTCGTTGGGTGAGGGTGACTTCCCCGCCACCTTGAAAGAGGCGGTGGTGAGGCCTCTCCTCAAGAAGCCTTCCCTGGACCCGGCAATGTTGGTTAATTATTGTCTGGTCTCCAACCTTCGTTTTGTGGCGAAGGTTGTCGAGAGTGTGGTTGCGCAACAGCTCCCCCAGCACCTGGATGAAACGACATATCTGGATCTGTTCCAGTCGGGCTTCAGGCCCGGGTACAGCACAGAAACGGCATTGGTCATGTTGGTAGATGATCTCTGGAGGGCTTGGGACAGGGGGTGCTCCTCTGTCCTGGTCCTGTTAGACTTCTCAGCGGCTTTTGATACCATCAACCATGGTATCATGCTGCACCGGTTGAAAGAGTTAGGGGTGGGGGGCACTGTACTGCGGTGGTTCTCCTCCTTTCTCTCCGACTGGTTGCAGTCTGTGTTGGCAGGGGGGCAGAGGTCGACCCCAAGGCCCCTTATATGTGGGGTGCCGCAAGGGTCGGTCCTCTCACCTCTCCTGTTCAACATTTATGTGAAGCCGCTGGGCGAGATCATCCATGGTTTCGGGGTGGAGTACCACCAGTACGCTGATGACACCCAGCTGTACATCTCCACCACAGACTACCCCAACGATGCCCTTGAAGTGATGTCCCAGTGTCTGGAGGCCGTGCGGATCTGGATGGGGAGGAACAGGCTCAGACTCAACCCATCCAAGACCGAGTGGCTGTGGTTTCCGACGTCCCGATATAGTCAGTTGATGCCATCGCTGACTATTGGGGCCGAATCATTGGCCCCTACGGAGAGGGCTCGCAACTTGGGCGTCCTCCTGGACTCACAGCTGTCTTTAGAAGAGCATTTGACAGCCGTGACAAGGAGGATTTTTCATCAGGTTCACCTGATTTGCCAGTTGCGTCCCTTTCTGGATCGGGACTCCCTACACACAGTCACTCATGCCCTCGTCACTTCCCGCCTGGACTATTGTAACACTCTCTACATGGGGCTCCCCTTGAGGAGCACCCGGAGGCTCCAACTGGCGCAGAATGCGGCCGCGCGGGTGGTTATGGGAGCAACATGGTGCTCCCATGTGACACCTCTCGTGCGCGAGCTGCACTGGCTCCCGGTGGTCTTCCGGGTGCGCTTCAAGGTTTTGGTCACCACCTTTAGAGCGCTCCATGGCTTAGGACCTGGTTATTTATGGGACCGCCTACTACCACAAACAGCCTCCCACTGGCCGGTACGCTCTCATAGAGAGAGACTCCTCTGGGTGCCGTCAGCCAAACAATGTTGACTGGCAGCCCCTAGGGGGAGGGCCTTCTCTGTGGGGGCACCTACTGTCTGGAATGAGCTCCCCTCAGAGATATGAAGGATCCCAGACCTGCGCACCTTCCGCCGCGCTGTGAAGACCTTTTTATTCCACCAGGCAGGCTTGGCCTAATCCTTTCCCTCTTTTTTAATATGTAAATTTTAATTTGTTTTAAATTATTGGGGTGTTTTAATTTGTCAGGGCCAAAACTATTTAATTCGATTTTATCTGGTTTTTAAAAATTTTTGTATCTATGTATTTTATTGTTTGGCTGGTCACCACCCTGAGTCCTTCGGGAGTAGGGCGGTATACAAATCAAATAAATAATAATAAAATAAAATAATAATAAAGTCAGGGTGGGTTTCACTTACCTTTGCTACTGGTTCACTCGTGCGTGTGTGATCACTTCGCTCGTGCACGCACCACTTCTGTGCATGCGCAGAAGCTTCTGCACATGCACAGAGCGTATTTGATGACATCCGGGTGGGTGGGCGGAGCGTTCCGCCACTGCTGCTATCAGTTCACCTGAACCGAGGGGAACCAGTAGCAACCCACCACTGAATCAAATTCATGTGAAGTGTTAATCCCATTTTATAATGGCTTGGTAAGACCACACTTGGAATATTGCATCCAGTTTTGGTTGCCACAATATTGAAAAATATGTAGAGACTCTAGAAAGAAAAGAGCAACAAAGATGATTAGGGCACTGAAGTTCACATGAAAAACAGTTGCAGTTTAATGAAAAGAAGGATTAGGGGTGACATGATAGCTATCAGCGTTCCAGAAAAAAAACCCAACTCCAAGTAAAGACGCGGAAGCGAGCATTTTCCAAAGTTCTCTTTACTAGAATAGGCAAACTGGCACATCTGTGGAAACCTGAATCTGAAAAGCCAGGGTTTTCCTTCAGTAAGTCAAAGCTCCCAAAACCATCCCCTTTCCATCCAGTCGGTCACATGCTCCAATCAACATCCATTCCATCCCGAACCAGCCCCCTGACCATTCCTTCTCCAGATGCTGGATAGCCCTGACCTTGACCGACAGGAAGAATGCTATTATGTCTACTAACCCCCTCTCCTAAATCCCCCCTCCTACTTTCCCACACATGAGAAGGTGGCAGCATTGGAGCTTCTGGCCTAATATGGCTTCCAAAGCTGACAATAGTAATGTTCCAATATCTAAGGAGCTTCCACAAAGAAGAAAGGGTCAACCTATTCTCAAAAGCACTTGAAAGCAGGACAAGAAGCAATGAATGGAAACTAATTAAGGAGAGAAGCAATTTAGAACTAGGGAGAAATTCCCTGACAGTTAGAACAATTAATTAGTGGAATGACTCTCTTCCAGAAATTGTGGGTGCTCCAACAGTACAGATTTTTAAGAAGAGATTGGACTACCATTTGTCTGAAATGGTACAAGGTTTCCTGCTTGAGCAGGGGGTTGGACAAGAAGACAATCAACTAATGGAATAGCTTGCCTTCAGAAGTTGTGGGAGCTTCATCAGTGGAAGCTTTTAAGAAGATACTGGACTGCCATCTGTCTGTCTGAAATGGTGTAGAGTCTGCTGCTTGGGTGGAGGGTTAGACTAGATGACCTACAAGGTCCCTTCCAACTCTGCTTTCTGTATTATTAAAGACCTCCAATGTCCCTTCCAACTCTGCTTTCTATTTTATTAAAGACATCCAAGGTCCCTTCAGATTGTTAATCTGAATATTGAACTTCATTTCATTCATCTGCACTCACATGTACCTCTTCCCTAATTTCAAAAGCTGTCTGTAATTACTCCATTGGACAAGGGAATACCAGGAACAGAGAAGGAAGAATCCATGCTCAGTCTTTAATATATAGTAAGATCTACTGTATATAACTTTATGATTTTTGCTATTGACTTCTTTGGGTGCAGAAGACCATAGATTCACTGTAGTCTGCAGTGACATGTACAACAGTGTGTGTGTGTGTGTGTGTGTGTGTGTGTGTATTCGACATTGCATCTCCTAGTCTCTGACTTTTGTCCCTCCCATTCTAGATGATGATGATAATGATGATGATATTGTACCTTTGCACCAAGCACTTAAGGTATCTTATATCAGTGTCTCAATTTAGTTTATCTCCAGTAATTTTAGTAATTTAATAATTAACATTAATTAATTTTAGTGATTTAATAATTAACATTAATTAAATTTAATAATTTAATAATTTTAATCAGATCCTAAAATTGCCGTCATTTCTTTAAATGGCAACCTTGTTTTGGGTTCATGTATTATTATACATTCTTCATTTTATTGTTTCATGTGTTAAATATGACCAACTCTCCCAAATATTTAAGGTAACCCACCATATTGCAGGCAGATGCTAGAAAATATTTTCTAAGCCCATTTTGACCTAAAGGCCTGGATTGCAAACAAACCTTGACATCCTCATATGTATATTAAATATATAGGGTACAATTTGAATAAGATAAATTGATGACATAAGAGATATTAAACTGCACTTCATTTCCTAAGAAATCTGTTCTTATGATGCATGAAATGAAGAATAGTAACCTTTAATATTCATCCATACTGATCAGTTTCTTCAGGTTGTCAAGATAAAATAGCAACAAAAAATTATGTGCTGACCTTCTAAAACAATCCATTCTCAAATATAAGTTCAAAGTCTCTCTTTTCACATTTGAATGGGTGTTTAAGTTTTTCCTTTGATTTTTATACAAAACTGAACCATCTGTATAAAATATTTCCCAGCTTCAAAGCCCATTTGAGGAGATGGAGAGAAAAGACCAAAACCATGAAAATGTTTAATTTTTTTCCCCAGAATATCTGATAGCTTCTGAAAAGAAGCAGTTTTGAAACTTCAACAGTTCCTTGAGAATTGGAAAGGGGAAAAAAGTCATTACTTTTAGTAATAGATAGATGACTTTTATACATTTTTTTTAAAAAAAATCATCTGATTAGTTCACAGATTCTGGAAACAATTAAACATTGCCTTTGCACATAAAGGGTTTATCAAGGCTTACAAAAATAGGACTAGACCAGGAGTAGTCCCAAAGTTACATGCAATGCAAAACTATGGACACTAACTCAGATGTGCAAAAGTTTTATTACATATAAAACTGCAGAATTTATCTCTCCATTCCATTAATCTCAAAATTGAGCTATCTGAAGAACAGCAAAAGTATTTTATTGTAAATATGTATTGCTCTCCAGAAATAATAAATATCATCTGTGAATTTAGGAGTGGCTGGAAAGATTAAAAATGGCTAATGAATTATTGACCAGATATCTTGCATCATGTGCTGCCTGTACATAAAAATGAATTTATAGACTAGGGAGAGGATGCCTGGGTCATTTGTGTTGTGCTTCAGATGCGCTTTCTTGTAAAATGCTGCTCTGAACAAAGATCCATTCATTTCAAAAGAAAAAAAAACAACTACAGTGAGCATATTCCCAAACTGGTCACTATGTTTTCATATTCAAGTGAATTTCTAATGTTTTGGCTTCCTGTTGCTTTGTTTATGAAAGCATTTGCTTTGTGTAATTGCTTTCTGCTCTTTTACTGAAGCCAAATGAATAAACAAATGACATCTCACTCCCACTTCCTGGTCTCCCACTGACAATCCTACTTCATTCTTATGTGGGATGTAGCATTTAGCAGAGCAAGCAATTTGTGATGTGGCAAATATTTTAAGATAATCCAAAGGCTGTTTCGTTACAACAATCTGAATGAGCAGGCTTGAATTGCCTAAGACGTAAATATATATCTCTAAATGTACTTTTTTTAAAAAAAAAAATCTGTACAATTAGGCTGCCTTTGCTTAACTAAGAAAGGATTTTGAGGTTTTATTGCATCATCAGCAGTTTCTATATTTGTTTTATGCAAAGATACTGGAAAAAGATTTTTTTTTAATTTTCATCATTATAGTTTTGTCACTATACCCTAAGGCCAATTTTTAAAAATTATCTTTTGAGCCTTGAAACAGATTGAATCAAACTGGGCTTTTTCAGATGGTGATTCACAAACTTAAATTGAATTAGACCTTTTTCAGCCGTAAATCTCCGGTTCAGTTTAGAGCTGATCCACATAGACCTACAGACTATTGTACTTTGGTTAACACATTATAAGTCAATAAAAGGTGTGTCCATATGCCAGGTTTGACCTATGTTAAAGAAGAGCAGGGCTTTAACCGATTTGTTAATTTAGAGTATATCCCTATCATCTATCTTAAAGTTTTGAAAATTAAATAAATGAAGTGGGCCTACCAGGACAGGACTCTCAACAATTTTGCTGGAGCTGTAATAGAACTTTGTTTTTCGGAGGGCATCAGAGAAAGAGGATTATTTCCCGACTAAGCCCTTTTTTCTGTTTGTACAAGAGAGTGGACAGGAGGTAGTTAAATATAGCTCTGAACAGGTCTTTGGTTGTTTAAGGTTAAAGCTATTCTCTTTACTGCTGACTGGGGTTATACAGTTCATGTGATACATTAACTCTGACCCCAATAGATGTCAGGTGAAAAGGACCATTAGGAAGTTTTGAGAAGCTTTATTTGTTTAGATTTCTTTTTCTCATTTCTGCAACCTTTTGTTTCTTGAAGAATTCTTTTCAATTCTCTTATTTGTAACCACAAAAGTCTTTTCATTAGAAGAGTTAGATATAACAATGTCACTGGACTCATTATTTATTTCAAATAATAATTTGAAGCCATCCTTCATTGGATAATTTCTAAATGATATAGAGAATAAAACAGAAAAAAATCTATTACAAAAACAACTATGAATAAACCATTAATACAACTTATATTAATAAAAGTACTACATTAGATTTCAGAAAAATACCTGAGTTAAATATATATAGATATGTACTGTATGTATGTAGTCATGCATGTATATATACACAGAGAGAGAGAGAGAGAGAGAGAGAGAGAGAGAGAGAGACAGGTATTCCACCTCAACAATAGGTACACAAATTACCAGCCCAATCTATCACAGGACTGAAATCCTTTAGGCCAGCATAGAAAACAGCTCTTCACTTAACATCCTACTTTAACCCCAAGAATGCCTTGAGAGAGGAAAGATCTAAGGCAGTGGTCACCAACCAGTGGTCAGTGGACCACTGGTGGTCTGTGAGAAAATTTTGGTGGTCTGCAGAAATATTATTTGCATTTTTTATATTGCACTAAATACTATTTATCTTTTTTTAAAAATCATATTAGTGGTCTGCGGGATTTAAAATTATGAATTTAGTGGTCCCTGAGGTCCACTAAAGGTTGGTGACCCCTGATCTAAGGTACCTTATTGTGGCCTGATCATTAATAATCACTCTACCAAACTACCTGGTTTTAACCTGCCTTGCTCTGTCTGAATGAAATTGAACAGAATTAGGTGTGATACTGGAAGAAGTATCCTGTCCTGTATCAGTGGGGATGGAAAGATTTCCCTTGTTGTGATTGTATTCCTGATAGGCAAACTATTAAACAGATTGTGCAAGATTGCCCAAAGTGCATTCTCTGGTTCCCTAGAAGATCTGCACAAAGAAACGTAAGAGGTGAACACCTGAATATCTGAATTGAACATCCAGTTATGAGGCCACTGCTGTACCCCATAGAGATTTTGTATAAATTTATGTGGCTTGTGTTTATTTCTGTTCTGTCATGTTCATCATCATATGCTAAAATAATATGTCTATGTATGATGAAAATTTAATTCTGAGGAAGATCAGGGTTTGTAGCTAAAATTAGTCTTTTGTAAGTGAGTGCCCTATTTGCAGTATGTAGTATCACATAACAAAATTCCCCTTATTGACTGTAGCAATCTAACAGGTCTAACAGGCAGCATTTCAAGTAATGTAAGGCCAAGTTATTCAAAACTCATAAATTAGCAACATGATACTGAAGTTTAGAATTTGACTTTCATGTCAGCAATAATTTATTGTAGGTAAGTCTGTTAGAAGAATATAATCTACATGAAAAAACCAAATTTGCCAGACTTGAGAACTATTCCTTTTAATAGTCAGTAATTCACAGCAATTGCATATTCCTCTTTTTTATATTTAATGATCTGAACTGTTCACATGTACAATCATAAGGCACAACCATTAGTCAGACTTCAACCAAGTTCAGTGAACCAGAACCACAGAGTCACTGCTCTGCAGCATATGATTAAGTGAAATATTCAGCTTTGAACTAGCAGCACATAAATAATTAAAACTGGAAGAGAAATGAATTGGAAAAAAAAAGAGAACCACCCTAAAATATAAGACTAATGTAATGCTAGTGACTCTGAAGGTTTGTTCTAGCAAGAAAACAAATGCAATGTCAAAATCATTCCGATCTTCATTTTCCTAATAAAATGTGTTCAGGGCAATACGAATTCTCTATCTCAAAGTGTATGAATGTGTGTGATTGCGTGTGTGTGTGTGTGTGTGTGTGTGTGTGAAGTGCAATACTTCCTCAGATCCATTGACAGGCCATCTGCTTCTGGACAAACAAGGTAACCTGAAAGAGAAAGGAGTGACTTACAAGATTTAAAACTATTAAAAGAGTCCAACCCCAGGAGACTCCACAATCCAAAAAATTATTGAATATTCTAGGAAAGTTCAAATGACTGTAGCCAATAGACTTGTCAAGACAACAAATTTGCTGTGGTCCTTAAATCTTTCCAGTGCCAAAGAGCCTGAGATTATGTTTTTTGTTTTTAATATTAAGAGACTATTCTACAGCTGGTGACTAAAATGGCACACGAGTTGTGGTGGAACTAAATGTACACTTGAGTAAATAGTCATGCCCCCTGGGAATCAGCAAAGGCATTTTTCTTCTCCCTGTTCAAGAGGTGAAAAGTTTACTGATATTTGCTTCAGTGAATAAAACACGTGTCAGAACCTTCCAGTTTTGCGATCTATCAGTTATGGAAGTCTGAAAATATAGACAATAGCTTGTAGCTATGTGATCTAGAGTAGAGGTCTCCAACCTTGGCAACTTTAAGCCTGGCAGACTTCAACTCCGGGCAGAGTTGAAGTCCTCCAGGCTTAAAGTTACCAAGATTGGAGCCCCCTGACCTAGAGTGTGTTCTCTTGGCTTATATCCTCCAGGCTTTCTAAAGTCAGCTAGGGATAACTTTATTTTTACAAATCATTTCATTCTAGCTTCAGATTTATTTTTCTATTGTAGATTACCACCTTTGGAAGAGATATATTAGATCCTCCAGCTATGCTTACATGAAATCCATAACTGAGTTAGAGAATTGGATTAATATTCATGTGTGATATAGCGTAATGGGTTAATTATCTTCCAGAACTAATTCAAAGAGACTTGTTAGACTTCAAATAATCCTGGAACTATTTGAGCTAAATGATTTTTTTGCCTAACAACTATGTATGCATTGACGATTTACATCAACAATAAAAGAACAAGCAATAACAAAATATGCTGTAGACCAGCACTTGGTTCAACAGACATAAGGACCTTGATAAAGATATTCAGATGACATGGTGTGCCCATTATCTGAAATGATCAAAATAGTGTAAGGAACACTATTTCCTGTGACACTCTTATGGAAGCAAAAATTGGACTTTGAAAATGCACTATAAGGAAGAGTATTGATGCATCCATTTGGTGGTGAAGAGGACTTCTGAGAATAACAGTCTGAGAAAAAGAACCCAAATGTTCTTTGTTGAAGAACTGTTGAATAAATCAATCCAGATGGGGCACAAGTGAACAGCTCAAATTATCCTATTTTGGAGACATTATTAAAAAAAACCTGGCTTTCTGGACAAGGCTCTGATGCTTAGAACGGGAGAACAAAAGAGAAGACAAGGTTGACCAAGAGCAAGGTAGGTGGACTCAGTTATAGTAGCAATCAATGCACTTTGAGAAGACCTGAAGAACCAGGTTAGGGCTGTGGGCAAATAATAGATGGAAAAGACATAGAAAATAGGAGGTTGAGTGTGTCTGCTAGCTTATAAAACCCCACATGTCTTGGTATCAAAGTATTTGCAGGATTTACTTCAAACAATGTTTCTCACCCATGAAGGTTCTTTCAGGAAATCCTAAAGACAGTGGTCTCTTTTTTGTGAGGTGAAGAAAACTTTTTTTAATCTAATGAATCTATTCTTTGGAATGGCCTCCTTAGACAACCCTACATAGTTATGTTCTTTTAAAAGCTAGCAAGGGTCAAACGCCAGACCCTCTATTGACAGAAATTGAGGTGTGATCCTTTGACATTATAATTTATTCTTTGTTGTGTATATATCTTTTGTTTTAATATTGTTACCATTGGTTTGAGGCTTTTGAGTTATTCAAGATTCTGGTAATGAGGGAGGGTTGTAGAACAAATGTTAAACTATATCCCTCCTTTCCTTATTAGATTTTCTTATTGTGTTTTCATTTATTTTTCTTATTCTATTTAAGTTGCTGGGAATCATAATATTCAGCAGCTTACAAACTTAATAAATAAGAGAAATACTGCCATTGCTTACTAGATTAGTTTTTCTGAAGTCATTAATCTTTAAAGCTCTAAATCAGGGGCGTCAAACTCATGGCGTCACGGTGGCATCTCGTGACATATTGGGACTCCCCCCCCCGTTCACTAAACTGGCATGGGCATGGCCAGTGTATGACGCATCTGGCCCCCAGGCTGGGAGTTTGACAGCCCTGCTCTAAATAATCCCAGGTCTTTTAAAATTTGCCTTTATCCATATGTATCTATTCCAGCACATGTGTAATTTCCTCTCTGTTGTGTGAGGCAAAAGAAGATCTGCATCTTGTAGTTTATGGAGTGTCTTCTAAGACTTAATTGATGGTTATTAATGGCTTCTGAGGCCACATGTTGCACTTTTGCATTCTTTAGGTAGCATCTTTTTAGTATTTTTCCTTTTAAAAAGACCATAAGTTATCAACACTGCATGATGCTCTTTTCATTTACCTGCTTAACTTTAAATATTGGTTTGTCAAGCATCAAATTTTGTCAAAAATTACAAATAAAATGTTCTCAAGATCTCTTCCAAAGATACTTCAACCTTTAGAAATTTATCACATCTAAAGAAGTGAAAATATCTTCCTAACATTATCAGTTTTCACTTATATTCATAGAAAATTATTAGTTCCAGAAAACATTCTGAACTGACAGTAACAGGACTGAAAGTTCTGGGAATGTATCACATTAACTAAATCTGCACCCAAAAATGTATCCTTGAACCTGGGAATTCACAGAGACTATGTGGCAGGAGGGTTTTATTTAGTAGACGTTGTCAAGCAATATTTTCCCTGAACATTCAATGCTGGTATACAGGAAGGAATTCAAATTCTAGTAAGATTTAAGTTTCCAGTGTGTAACCATTTCATTTTAGATAATTATATCTCACAAATGTTAAACTGTAGTTTCTTTGTACTTCACCAATTCAGCAGAGTATTAAATTACCCAATTCATTTATTGGATAAAATGAAACTAGCAATCAAATGCCTTTTTAAAAATTATTTGTATATATTAGGGGTGTTAAACTTGCGTTGTCATGTGAAATGCTATCAGTTTGGCCAAACCGGTAGCGATGGCGGCAGATGGTTTGGAGAACCGGTAGCTGTGGCAATGCGAGGTTCCGTCCACCCGCCCGGACATTGTTACTTCCCGCATGCGTAGAGGGTCCAAGCGTGCACTTCTGAACCGGTAGGGAAGGTAAGTAGATTTGACCCCTGCGTCACATGACGTATCACAACTTTTTCTCCCTTTGCTAAACTAGGCATGGGCGTGGCCAGTGCATGATCAGGCCCACGAACAGCAAGTTTGACAGCCCTGGTATGTATCATCAAAATACCGCATTAAATTCAGATTTTTATCAATTTTAGCTATATTTGAAATTGTTGTCAGAGTACAGGGAATCTATAAACTGCAAGTTTCTGAAGTATTGTTAAAAGCATCTGGTTGTTTGGGTAGAATGTGCCAGTATTTTTACTTCAGACAGAAATAACATTCCATAGAAGAAACTGTTGCTCAATCCAAAACCCTCTTGTCCTTATAAGGCTACTGGAAGTGTTGAATGAAGGTAAGCTTTTTCTTCAGTTTTAGATTCCCAACTAGTGGAATAATGATTAAGTTTCCAAATGACGTAGCTAAATTTGTGGTTGGGAATCCTGTCTAATGGGGGAAAAAAGTCAAAGCCTAGATTAGTAACATCAACATTTCCTTTTCCTGCAAACAGTCAACAGGGAGTATGTGCAGTTATTCACAAAAATGCAGCAGAAATACATACCACATGGGAATGAAGCATTACTGGAGAGTCACAAATAGTTGGAATGATCTGCTCTTATGCAATTCCTTACGTCAATAAAGTTTTCTTTCATTTTTTTTTCTTTTCAAAATCCCATGAATCATTAAAACTGGAAAAGGAAAATGTAGCAGATAAATAATATTTCTCCACCAGAGCTAGGTTCTTTTATAAACAAATGACCTTTTTTTTTTTTTTTTTGCAAGGATAAGCGGGACAGTTGGTAGATCCAAGTATTAAAATATTTTATATATTCCTTTTATAATATTGAAAATTGCTTTATACTTCTGTAAATAAACTAACATATTTAGGAACAAAATGCATTGGGAGGCTTCACCTCCAAGTAACCCAAATGTTGTACATCAAGGATAGCTGCCAGTATTCAAAGATGTCTCTTGGTGCACAAACATTCCCCATTTGAAAAAATATGGCAAAACTAGAGAGCTGGCTTGCTGCAAAGTACTTATCCATACCTCATTTATTGGTAGGAAGTATGAATCCTACCAAATAGAGCATGTAAGAGAGCTAGCTGGTTTTCTGGTAAATAGGTATTTTGTAGGGGTGTTAGAATAGTTTGCCTCAAATGGTGGTTTGCCTTATTGTGGCACAGAGGCAACACCATTAATTGCTATATTACCTCAAAGCCTCAATTGTCAATTCCATTATGCAGAGCAGGTTTCTGACCTTGCATTGTGCATTTACAGAAGCCATTTGCTATGTTAGCACTGACATAGGTTGGCCACTTAATTTTTAAATCATGTTGCCGTGTATTTTTGGAAAACAGACAAAATTCCACAGGCATACTATTTTGTGACCATTGACTCTTATGAAGCTCTTACATCTTCCACAGTAACTATTTTGGGAATGAATCCACTATGTGCTGTCAGAATTTAAATGTGTCCTGGGCCAAAGGGTTGTCTATCCTAGTGCTGCACCATAGTTTTGAATCACTTAATATCTAATAACAGTGTGCTATGGTGCCAAAAATGTAGTGATATTGTACTAAGTACTATTTTTCTAGTAATATGTATAATAGTTTGTGCGAAAACCCATAGGCATAGTAAACAAAGAAGGATCTAAAAGTCTGAAATAACCTTTTTGTTAAATACACATCAGAATTCTTGCTATAAATAGATTTTGTACAGAAGACCTGTTACAAATCCAAAGGTGATGTGAAGATTTATAAAGTGAATAAAGTATTTATAAAGTAAATTTTGCTGTTGTTTTTAAGCTTCTACATTGCTTAAAAATGGAAAAATAAAATAGCACAATAAAATTCAAGAAACCTTGAAAACTATTTTGTCTAACCACCGTTCATCAGAATCCACCATCTTAGCTTTTCAAACAGATGGTCATCCAGCTTCTGTTTAAACACTTCCTGCAGTTAGTTCATCATTTCTCCTGTTGTCCAACAAAAATCTATTTGCTTGTAATTTATCATCTTAGTCACTCTTCTCTGCACATCATCATTTGTCAATGTCTTCTTCAATATGGCAGTGCCCAGAATTCGACCTTAAGATTGGATGTCAACCTTTCCAGATACATCTGATCATGTTACCTAGTCTGCAAGAAAACAATCAAGCTGAAAGAGCATGAAAGACTCCATTTACCACATAGACCTTATTGTAAACATGACTACATAGACTAATTCTATTTTATTGTAAAGCCATATTAACATAGTCTTGGAAGTCTGAAAGTATAATTATAAATTTGATAATAAAAATAAATAAATAAAATAATTGTCCCAGAGTCACCTTTACAGCCCAAGGAGTTAGGGAGAGTCTCTTCTGAGACTTTTGTTCTACTTATGTATTATGTAGCTACAGGCTGTGCTGTATCTAATCTGACCATTCCCTAACCTAGGCAATACAAGGTCTATCCCACATATAATTACCCTGGCTGGAAGCTTTACAGTGTGATATCCAAACCTCACCTAACAAGGAATTTCTTGGCCATGACAACTATTAAGCAATGAAATAACAAGCCCCCTAAAGTTGTGGGTGCTCCATCTCATTGGAAGTTTTCAAGAAAAACTAGACAGCCATTTGTTCAGAATAGTATGAAGAGTTTTGGCATTGGTCAAAGGATTAAAGACTTCCAAGTCATTTTCAAGCCTATGAACCTAGAGGATGCCACAGTCACACCCACATGATGAGCAACAAATAAATGCTTTTTTCAATGATTTTTTTTTTTTTTTTGCTTCCATATTCAGTTGGTGAGCTTGCTATCTGGAAACATGCCTCTTTTTAATGTTTTCTGAAGCTGCCTCAGTTGAAGCAGCAGCAAGCAACATTTTCAGGCATATTTTGATAAGCAAATTTCTGAGAATAACATAATAGAAGTAACATCAAATTGATATGGTTTATTTCCTGATTGTACATGCATCAGATCTACCTACTTTTTTGGGATGGGGGTGGGCAACAAGAGTGTCCATGTCAGTAGTGAGTTTCAATTTTGGTTGCTACTGGTCTGCTTGTGGGCAGGCGTACTGCTTCTGTGCATGCGCAGAAGCTTCTGCACATGCGCAGAGGGGTGGGGGGGGGGGGGGGGCCAGAGCCTCCCACTGCCACCGCTACTGGTTCACCCGACTTGGGGTGAACTGGTAGCAACCCACCACTGGTCCATGTCAAATATAGATTTCATCAAAATGCTGAAACATCCATTGTGACATCACAGTATAAAATCTGCCCCTTATGTACATTTTTATGAGGTAAAGGCAAAGGTAGCAAAAGCTGCTCTTCCATTCTCATCACAGATATCCCTTATACACAATGTTTTTCAACTTGTCAAACATAACTACAAAGCAGCAAGAAAGAAGCAAAGATTTCGGAAAAGCATTTCTATTATTAGTCAGGAGAAAAAAACATTATCTTGGAAACCGTAAGAGTAAATTCCCAGGCAGACATATAATGAGTCAATTAAGGCAGATTCTCTCTGAAATGCTTTCTTTGCATGGCACCTATACCTGGGCTGTATTGTTTCTGCTCATATAAATTGAACTCCCCTTCTCCCACTTTCTCTCATAAAACTCTCACTCAGCTGAAGATAATGTTTATTTTAGAATGTTATAAACTTGGCCTTTTAGTAGCGATATAAAAACTCTGTTCCAATAAGTGGGGAGGGCAAGGGCAAAGGTGGAGGTGGAACCAGGTGATTTAATTCATATTGATTTAATTTATATGTATTTAATACCTATATTTAATATAATTTAATATACAGATATTATTACTATCCACATAGTAAGTTGTAAAATATAAATCTTACTATATTGCATTAAAGAACAAACAATAAGCAGAATGTCAGCCATACTTCTTGCTTTAAATAAAATGTTCATTGAAGAATTGAAAGAACAAGGAATACAGCAAAAAAAAAAAAAAAAAAAATAGAAATAGAGCTTCCATCATTGAAAGATAACTTGGCATCAAACTTTAAATACTACTTACATAAACTAATACAATGAAAATCCCTTGGTTTTAATAATTTTAAATTGTAAATAATGTAGGTGCTCTGTATTGTTCTTTGTAAATAGAGTATCATATAATAAAATACATGAGATAGCTGCAAATACAATGGATATACTGTAGAAAGTATATCAGTGTTGAAATGCAAGGTTTCTGAGATATAAAAAAAAATCAGGCCAAGATAAATTACTTCAGAATGTTTTCCATGCTTGATATAACTATAAACTGTACAATTCAATTGAAAAACAAACTGAAATCTTTTGGGGTGGGGTAATAACAACAGCAAAAAACCTTACAATAAAAACTAGCAGACTGTGAGTCTAGTCCTATCTAAGGCATAAAAAATGGATGGGTCACTTTGGGCCAGTCACGTTGTCTCATCCCAGCCTACCTTATAGGATTGTTGTTGTGGGAAAAATAGCAGGAGAAAGAAGTATTAGATATGTTTGCCACCTTGAGTTATTTATAAAAATAATAAATATGGAAAATAAAAACAACATTAGTAAACACTAATAAAGAACACTGAACATTTTATCTCTCATTCATTCACACAATATTTATCTAGTTTGAGATTTTAAGATTTATTGCTATGGAGAGCAATAGAAATCTGAGTCACTGATTTGCTTGTACTGGAAGCCCTTAGATATGATGAAATCTCTATGTAGTCACAACTGACTTCATTCCTATGATGTAACATGATAAAAGCACAATCAGCTACATTTTTATGTTCTAGCTAACAAAATTACCAAATTTTAGGAGTTCATTATACTGAGATTGTGGACAGAAATTACAAAAGTAGCCCATCAAAGATTACTGCAAATGCTGGATTATTTCAGTTTCTCTGAAAATTCATCCAAAGCCTCACTGAAATGGACAGATGTTAACAGTAGTTGGGTTGCCAAAAGAAAATAATAAATGGTGACTGTCTTAAGGACACTGAGGAATCGAAACAGAAAAATGAAGGTGGCTACAGCAATTTTTTTTTTTTTTTAAAGTGACCCTCCTACCAAAGGAATAAAATTTCATGATTTTTTTTTGTAGTAATGCAAGTTACTTTTTTATTTCTGAGCATTTGATAATTCTATATTGTGCTAACTGGTTAAATAAGATTCTGATATTGCCCAAGAATACATGGTGCATAAATATAAAAATGTGTGATAGAAATATTGGAATAAGGAACGATTCTTAAAAGGTTATAAGTTTCATATTTGCAGAATTAAGAAAAGGGAGATTTGACAACTGCAAAGACACATTGCCTGTGGTTACAGTTCTCACTTCCGTTGACATTAACAAGGCTAATTCAACTGAAAAGGGGAAAGCCCCTTAGCAAAAGATCATGGACACTTACTGTTAAGTATTTGAATTTACCCGTTCATAGTCCAATGTTGTAAGTGTTATGCGGTGTTTGAAACTGTGAAGTGTCAGAATATCAGTCCAAAACATACTTGCAGAAGTAGTTAGTCTAATCTGTTTTTCCCCCGTTTTGATTTTCAGATAAACCTAGTGTAGCAGTATGAAACCCAACGTTAACAATATATCACAAAGAAAATAGTTAACACAAGACCACACATGCTGAGATGAACAGTAGTATTTTCCTCCTATCAAAATTGATACTAAATGTCAAATGCATGTTAATTTTTTTTGGAACATTGCTTTACCTTTTATCCCTCCTAATGGTTTATCTTATATATTGGAAAGAGAGATCAAATTGCTTCATAAATTCTCTATAGAAGATTGACTTGCTATTGATTATTTATCTATATTTTGCAGAAAAATAAAATATATTAATCACATCACCTTTATGTTATTTACTTGGGTCACATAAAACAATCTGTCTTAGCAACAAATTTCTTAAAAATTCAATGACTGTAATCTGAATTTTGAATTTAATTTCAAATTTAAACAGGACTGTTTTATAGGATATCTTATTAGCTAATCAAAAGATTTCCCTGAACTTCTAAAAGCTATATATATAAAATAATTTGATATGGTACAAAGCAAGCCAAGCCTCTAGCATCGTATTTATGCAGGAATGCTCTGGGACCCTACAAATATTCCGCTGAGATGGTTAGCAAATTTTCTATTAAATGGAATTTATTCACACTTGCTATAGGAAACATTTTGTAAATAGGTAGGTTTCTAGAGCAGTCATTTTTACAATGCATCCAGATGCTGTCAAAACAGCCCTGATTTGGAGAGATTGCAATTTTTGAATTAATACACTTATATCAGTGATAAGTTGGAAGTGCTCCTTAATTGGCTTAGGAATTAATAAATGCAAGACAAAATCCTGATATCAGTTTCACATTCAAAAATATATTATTTATTTATTTAAAAAAAATTATATAGCTGCCCAACTTACTCTTGGTATTCCAGGCAGCCCTATTTTTCGGCAGAATGAATAAGCCACAGTGAGTAACAGGCAGAAGTAAAAGGGGACAACAAAGGCAATGTCTCAGCTGTTAGTATTCAGAAAACTATTCATCTGTCCCAGAAGACAAAAATTAGTCATTCACCTTCAGATTTGGCAAAAAAAAAAAAAATGCTTCATTGCTAGTATTTAAATAATAGCCCGTTTCAAGCCAGGAGGCCTTCCAAATGTGAAATGCCTCTTGTCCTTGCAATGCCTAGCCAAACTTTCACTTATGTTGCGATAATGTAACAATCCAAGGCCATGGCTTTCTAAACTCTGTTGGCTTTTTGTCATTCTCATGACTACACTGGAGATTCAAGGATTCAGATGATATCACCAAAGCACGTGGTTCTGCTGCTTTTTCTTATAGAGCAATGATTATGTATTTTTACGTACAACTGAATATTTAAAAACACAGATGTCCTTTGGAGCATGGCAATACATGGATGGACTGGCAGAGATAGATAATTAGTCCAGTTTAAACAACCTGCATGCTCAGGGAAACATGCAATTCACAGTGATTCTTAGAATACCTTTGATTCTGATTGCTAAAAGTTTTTGTCAGTTTCCATGGGAAAATTAAAGTGAAAATTGTAATGTATGTTTTGAAAGAGACATACATTCCAAAGAAATTCTTCAAAGCTATCCCATCCAAACGTATGATGTAGTCCATCACTTTGCATTTTTTAACCATCTTCAAAATGTAAAATACAATCAGTGGTTCATACAAAAATTACCAGGTTTCAAATCTTTAATTTAAAATGTATACATTGGTTACTTATTCCTAGCATATTTATTATCTTTACTAGAAAATCTATAAATAATTGTTTAGTACATTCAATCAAGAGACACTACACACACAGTCTACAAATTTCTCAACTACTTCATTTTTCAAGAAATGTAAATGATATACTTACAAGGGTAAGAATTACGATTGTACTTGCTATTTTGATGTAAAGGTTTTGCCAGATTTGTCTCAAAAACTATGTTTTCATATATATTGTTACAAACCATCTGAAGTTAAACATACCTCTAAGTGTGGGATCCTTGGTGTCTGAGCTTAGTGGTTTCCTTGCAGATGTTTCTGCAAGATGCACAGCACTGATGATGTTACCTAGTTTGGTAATGAAATGTCTGCAAGCAAACTCCCAAGCTCAGAGACCACCAAGGATCCCATAATTTAATCCAGAGCTACAAATATTCTCTTTTATTTTTATTTTTTTTATTTTTTTTTAATTTGATTTATATGCCGCCCTTCTCCGGAGACTCAGGGCAGCTTACAGTGCGTTAAGCAATAGCCTTCATACTTTTGTATATTTATACAAAGTCAGCTTATTGCCCCCACAAACTGGGTCCTCATTTAACCTACCTTAGAAAGGATGGAAGGCTGAGTCAACCTTGAGCCTTGGAGAGATTCGAACCAGCAGTAAATTGCAGGCAGCTGTGTTAATATTGATACTTCCTACTGTCCAATAAAAATTATACAGTCTGGATATACAATAAATTCTGAAAACTAGATTGCCAAAGAACCATTAATACAAATAATTAATGCAACAGCACTTACATTTTCATGTATCTTACAATTTTGCAAGATCACCCTTATAGGGTAACTCTGTAATCTGCACCACTAAGAATAATCATTATAGCAATTTTTTAAATAATGGAAAAGAAAATAGAAAAGGTACTTGGTATTTATACTCATAGTCATTTTGGTAAATAAGTAGAGAAGTTCACTTTTTCTTCTACTGATTCCTGAGCCACTACAGGTATGACAACGGAAAGGCAGAAACAGTTTTTAATAGAGGAAGCAGAACTGAAAGAGACCAACCCTATTAAGAGACATGACGAGACTCAAATTTTGGCAGCTATGAAAACATGACAAGTTATCAACTTTTATCAGCATGTATTTTAGGATCCACTTAACATAAATAGATTAATAAATATGAGCAGAACATGTTGATTCATGGAAAAGTTAAGCTACATGAAGGAAAGAAACTCAAGAATATGCAATAAAATATTGTAGATTTAAGCCACAGAGAACTGTGGCTATAGACCAGTGATGGCTAACCTTTTTGCCGTCGTGTGCCAAAAGCGGGGGAGCGCAGGGGGTTTGCGCATGTGTGTGTGCCCACACCCCTAATTCAATGCTCCCCCACCCCCCCACAACAGTGCATGATCCCCCCCCACGCTTCCCCCCATTTTTGGCATGTGATGGCATAGTGGGCCCAATAGGCCCGGTTTTAAAAAAAAAAATTGATTTATATGCCACCCTTCTCCGGAGACTCAGGGCGGCTTACAATGCGTTAAGAGTTTTTCACCCTCCCCAGGCTCCAGAGGCTTTCTAGGAGCCTGGGGAGGGCGAAAAGTGCTTCCCCACTCCCCCAGAGGCCCTCTGGAGGATAGAAACAGCCCATTTTCTGACTTCCAGTGGACTCAGAAGGCCCATTTTTTGCCCTCCCCAGGCTCCAGATGCTTTCTAGGAGCCTGGGGAGGGCGAAAACTGCCTCCCTCATCCCAGAGGCTGGAAGCAGCACATTTCTTGACTTCCGGTGGGCCTGGAAGGGCCAAAAATCAGGTGGCTGGCGCATGTATGCGTGCTGGAGCTGAGCTAGGATAACACTCACGTGTCCACAGATGCCATAGGTTCGCCATCACAACTATAGACCTCTAATTTTGCATTCTCTTGCTTTCACCACCCTCCCCCCAGAAGACACTTAAAGCTTCAGATGAGCTTTCATTCTAAGGAAAAAGAGTGGACAGAATTATCTCTGGCAATTATTTTACTGTAAGTGAGGAAACTATCTTGATTTCTGTCTCAAAATATAAATGTCTTGCTTGTGTCAGATCTAAGTACTAGACAGATACCAATGTATGTTCAGAATCTTGACCTTAACCTTGTAATAGTTTACAAACTAATTTTGCTGAATCAAATCTAATGCAGTAGGATTTCTTTTTCCACAGCAAAATTATTGTGAATACCTTAAAAAGATGAATATAAAAATACAAAGTATTACCGTGTTTCCCCGAAAATAAGACCCTGCCTTATATTCTTTTGAACCCCGAAATAAGCGCTTGGCCTTATTGCCATGTGCTCAAAAGCTCGATTGGGCTTATTATCAGGGGATGTCTTATTTTGGAGAAAACAGGATAGCTTTCCATACAATTTTTTGTACAATTATTTAGCAGGTAGTAACATTTGGCTCTCTTTGTTTGGTGTAGAAACTATGCATGATTATGCTAAACTGGTACATGGATTGAAGACCTGCAGGGAGTACAGGATTGTAGGCAATACTAGAAGTCACAAACTGATCCATCATAAAGATGGTGCCAATTATTTCTGCTCTACTATGCTACATCGATACATTCATACAGGGTCAAGCTCAACCTGAACCTTTTTATTTTTTTTACTCTCCACAAAGTGACATCTTAGTGCTTTTATCTTTGCCACTCTTCAGAAACAAGCTGAAGACATAATACTGTAGAATGTTCTCCCACATCAAGCTAAAAAGATTGGAAAAGGGAATGTTAGGAATTGGTTTCTATATCTGACTTTTATTTTGCAATGCTATTTTAACAGATTTAGCAGATGCACTGCTGCTCTGAATTGCAGAGAGCATGACATTACTTATTTAAATTAAATCACTTATTTATTATCAAAGTTTTTCAATGGATTACCACCAGATAAAATTAAACAGTTAAAAGAAAAGATTGTCAAGCTACATTTGAAGTGAATTGTCACCTTGTTTTAACTGCTGTAACTATACATTTGGCTACTATGTGATTTTGACATTTCACTGTCAGAATAGCTATAAAAATTATCTGTTCTCCCAGGCGAATTAGTAAAAGACAGGTCACAATGTCCTTTTTGAGGTCTGCATAAAGGTTCTGGTTTAAAAAAAAAGATGTTGAATTGTATCAATTTCCCCAGCCTCCTAAAGCTAAGTGTGCTGAGCTAGATGAATATTGGCAATACTTGCCAGATAGAGGGATGTTATATGTTGTGTTAAAACATCCTTTTAGTATCTTGCGGGTTCATAACATCCTATATCTAGCATACTTCTGGGATTCTGAGACCATGAGTTGACTTCAGACTGATATTCAGTGTCAACCAATTTTTGCATCACTAGTTTTTTGGCTTGAACAAAGTCCAAAGTTAATAAAAATATACAGGCATTCCAGATAGTCTTAATTTTCTGCTCTACTGCTTTTGTCCAGAATGAGAGATAATTGTCAGCTAAGACTAGCAGTAGCAACTCTGTAGGATAAAATCTGATCTTTAACCAATATGATAGTCTCTATGCCATATTCAGTTTTGGATATCCCAGCCACAGGTGTTTAACGTGACAAAATCTGGGGCTTCAGTGTTATTTGCCTCCCTGAGTTCTATGTATAGAGCTCTAAATGCTCCTCTA